TCGAGTTCTATTCAGAATCGAAGTGGTGTATTGAATGCGTATGTGGCCTATACAATGACTTGCGGTGGCCAGCCGATGTACAAGTCACTGCTTTTATCCTCCCAGATAAGTCTGGCATCAACTAACCTACCCCGGACGGATGGAAAGCTTGATTGCCCTACGGAAATCGATCCAGGATTCGAACCTGTGACCATGCATTTGTGAAGAGCGCCACTTGCCACTACACCACCTCCACCCTATCAGATAAATATAAGGCTACAAAAAAGAAGTACAATCAGAGTTGAACGAGAATGTCACGAAAAAGCTGCATGGAAGGGGAACGCGTGCTTCATCGCCTACAGCTGTCTGCAATACGCTGCCTGCGTGCAAGGTGTAGGTCCCGATGCGAATAGTGTGATTTCTACAGCTTTTGCTACGCTTAACAGCTCTTCCGCCTTTATGTGTAAGTCGACTGAGCCAATTTTCTATCTTGATTTCATGATTTTTCTATTTTCTATCTTTCTATCCGGTCTCAAAAAGAATTTTAACGTTAACTATGCCTTTAACCGTGGTGCAAGATCCCCTGAGACAGACTGTTCGTGATCCATTACGTAATCTACTCCGGTAACTCACAGAGGAAACAGGAAGACCTTTTTATACGCTTCCAGAACCTCACTATCAACCGTGTTGATGAAACTTCACTTCAACAAGAACTGTTTGCCAGTTTACTGCCATGAAGTTGCAATGAGACAATGAGTTTTCTTCACACTGAGTTAATGTTTTGTGTCCTCATGATGACCTTGACTTTTACGGCTGTTGAGTAAAGCGATGCTGTCAAAATGTTATTGCCCTTTGTGAGCAAAAATATCACTACATCAGTTATGAAGCAATAAAACTTATCAACAAGTTGTCCCAAAGAAATTATAGTCATGGTCGAACTGCCCATTACGGCATAACAGAGCGTTCTTTATCCTCTTACCTATGTTCGTCGTTAAGGTCACGTGAACATTCCAAAAATGGCATGAGAAACTTGCATTAGTCGAGGGGAAAAATCAAAAAGTAAAAATATGGGCCAAGTTTCAGTAAACGTTGAGTAAAAATATCAAAGAGTAATGATTGAAATTTGCGGAAGCATCGTTGGAGCAAGTAGGGCATTATCACTGGCATGGTCCGGGTACTGAAACCTTGATCGGTACCCGCTCCCGCCAACCAAACCATTCATCCATAGAGGGTTAGTCTACTGGTATCAAACTTGTTTGGGAGGATAAAAGCACTGGCTTCACATGGTTGCCCATGCACAATTGCATTGTAAACCACCTACATGCTCTACCAAAGAAGCGTCACTACGATTCTGATGGTGGGCATCCTTAAAACGGGATTAGTTTTCTTTAAGTTTTTCTAAGTGGGCTTTATCCTAGTTTGTTAGTGGCTCAAACNCATTCATCCATAGAGGGTTAGTCTACTGGTATCAAACTTGTTTGGGAGTATAAAAGCACTGGCTTCACATGGTTGCCCATGCACAATTGTATTGTAAACCACCTACATGCTCTTCCAAAGAAGCGTCACTACGATTCTGATGGTGGGCATCCTTAAAACGGGATTAGTTTTCTTTAAGTTTTTCTAAGTGGGCTTTATTCTGGTTTGATAGTGGCTCAAACGAGGAAATGGTCCATAAAACGAAGCTTTTGCGCTTTGTCAGAATCTCTGTTTTCCGTTTTGACCAGGAAGTAAAAGTACAGAGAACATATAGTATACATATATATATGCTTGTTTGGATAGAAGGGCGGAGTTTGTGAGGTAGATGTAGTTCACGGTAGTTCACGGTAAGGGATTCTGGGGTGAATTCTATCCCACTGAAGGACCTAAGTGTTCTCCCTAACTGAATATTGAGTAGGTCTCGGCCTGCGTTGGTTTCGCAGCAGTACTTTCTTGTCTTCTAGCTATCTGAACTAGTTCATACACAAGGCGTAGGATGGTTCTCTCTCTCGGCTAGCCATTTGGGAGCCACTTAAGTCTCCTCCTTCTTACTTTGATGAAATCGATATTACAGTTTCTAACACAACTGTGTGAATGGGATGTATGCACTTCTTGTAAGAGTACGGGTAAAATTTCCATAAACCCAGTCACGCTTCCGACTTTACGACCGGTTCGCGTTGGATGAGAATACTTGCTACTTTCTAATCTTTTTTTCAGAAGATTTATTACTGATACTTTTCATATGTGAGAAGTTGATAATGAGTTTCAATGTAACAAAACGACTTTATTTGTATATATGTTACAGTAACGAGGGAAAAGCCTAACAATCGAGCAATTGCAGATGATTTTTTTTTNTTTTTTTTTGAAACGATTTATACTATTGATGCATGTTTCCTAGCTGCACTGAGTTTTCTAGCTGATCGTCTTAGCGCCTTCACCTTCCTTTGATCTGTTGTACCGTAATGCTGAGATGAATAACCATGCACTGCTGATACTGCTGAAGCGGCATTCTTTCTCATCATTGCGGCGGCGCTCCTTTCAGGGCATGGGCAATATGCAGCATCACCACCAGGTGGACCCATCATACCAGGTTGACCAGGCATTCCGTCGGGTCCACGAGGACCAGGGATACCAGGTGGTCCTGGAAGTCCAGGCGGTCCAGGGAAGGGACCGGGTGGAGCCTCGCCAGGGCGTCCAGCTTGTCCTGGAGGACCCATTGGTCCGGGAGGTCCAGGAGGACCCGGTAAAGTAATCTGTCTCTGTCCATCTGCTCCGGGTAATCCTGGCATACCAGGTTGACCTGGCCCTCCTGGCATACCAGGGTCTCCAGGTGGTCCAGGCATTCCTGGAGCTCCTGGCATACCGAACGCTGGCGCACCCGGCATTCCGTTTGGTCCTGGTGGACCAGGGGGTCCATTGAGACCAGGTGGTCCTGGAGGACCCGGAGGACACTTGATACAGCCGGTTGGTCCTCCAAAGGTTGAAACTTTGATACCATCGTTGCCTCTTTGGCCGGGCGGTCCTGGCAATCCGCGCTCTCCGGGCGTTCCTGGAGGACCCGGCGGTCCTGGAGGTCCCGGTGCGCAGTGTACTGGTTGTGGTGCACAGTTGCAGAAGGGAGGTAACTGGCGACGCTCCCGAATGAGAAGTTCGACTCCACGTGGTTGACGGAGGGCTTGCATCGGACTCGGTCTCATTTCGTGCCAGGCAGAATTTGCCAGATCCTTAATGGGAAATTGACCAGTATGGCAAAATGCAGAGCCATTTCATAAGACTGAGAATATAAATTGCAAGAAACTGATGACTGTGAAATTACCTTGAAGTCAGAGAGTTCTTCGATGGCATCGTCATAGAAGTCGTTAATATCTTTAACAAGATATGCAACAGTGATGAGACTGACAGTGGTGGCAATAGCAGCCACACCAGCAACACCAGCTACGAGAGTGTTTAAGCCCATTCTCTAGAATGTGGGGTAATCAGACTAGGAACGGCATGTTGGTATAGAAGCAGATAAGGAACAGAGATTACCGACTTACCCGCCTTGCCTTGTTGTGGTTGCTGCTGAATGTCTGCTTCTATAGCCGTCGGCCTCGTTAAATAGGCCTCGTTCCGTGGTCATTTTACAGCATACCATTCTCGTAGTGCACAACCAGAACTGTTTTTTGTGAGGGCGCCCAAACGGATGCAGGTGTGAGAGTGTGGGCGTCTAGTCCCGCCCTTACCTTCATCCAGCCTTTCGTTTTCGGAGAAATGCATGTTTGACGAACTGTGAAGAGAGTTGACAGGTTGTTTTTCAGGAGTCTAGGAAATGGGAGTCGGCCTTTGATGTCACTACGTTTTATGTCATGCCTTCAGACTCCCTCTAAGGCTGTAATTGTGGAATGCCCTTGAAGTTAGGTCAATCTTTGTGTAGAAAATTGTGGGGAGGGAGCGGTGTTTGACGTTTAGAAGAAGGTAAATGCGATTTCTTTGTTCTGCCTATTGCTTCCTTCTTACTGGCTCCCTCCTCTTTTTTGAGGCCCTCGGTACTCTAGCAAGAGCTCTGCCGGCAAAGTGCAGTGTATCCGTCGCCCAAAGGCTAGCCACTACATCTCGAAAGCCAAAAGATAGGAGTGGCAAATAGGGATATGGAGAGGCTAGCTGTAAGTTGGTTAGGCGATGGGCAGAGGAACAAAAAATCATGGTGGAAGTGTAATGAGGATTCTTTAACTTAGGCTGCAAGAAAGTGCAGAAATAAACGAAGTTTCGAATCCTACTAATTATCAGACACTTACCTTACCGTTTTCTTGAGTTTCAGAAGAAAGAAGACGACAGGTCAAGGGAAAACCTCCTCTTCACCACTCTTTGCAATGCAGAAGAGAAAGGGAATTCGCGATGTTATCTTAGGTCCACTCACAACGCATAACGGCAAGAGATTGACAAACGTTTTTAGTTAGCTGCCTTGCACTACTACAACGTGATTGTTTATTTCGTTATCTCTCCTTATAAGGTCGGAGGTGTTGTAGTGACGAAAGGCGCTCTATCTCACACATGGTCACGAGTTCGAGTCCAGGACAGATATCCGCCTAGGGGGGCCAAACCTCCCATCCCGTCGAGGTCGTTCGTTTGTTGCCAGACTCGTTTGAGAGGATACAAGCATTGCCTTGTACATCGATAAGTCATTGTATAGGCCGCATACGCACTCTTTACGCCACTACGATTCCTAGTAGAAGTCGAATCGGAGGCGCATTCCACAGATGGCAATAAAAAAGAGACTCACAGAGATATTGGGCTGATTCGATTCATCAGATCACCATCACAAATTCTGTCATTTTCAATGGTGCTGAAGATATTTCAGAAGCGCAGGTAAGCACCCTATCATACGCATTGTTCAATGATCAACACTCGGATCGATACCCGCCCAGACCAAGCAGCCTTCTAATCCTCCGGGATCATGTAATTGGTATGAAAGTCGTCCGGGACGATAGAAGCACTGACTTGTACAATGGCTGACCAGTGCGAATCGTTCTATACTACATGAAACTTGAAAAGGCCCAGCGATTCTTTGGGGCGCATTCTAAAGGAAGGTCAAGATCGGTCAAAGTCAAAACGCTTTATAAATTTCGCTGGGTTTGGTCCGCAGGTTACTGCCTTCGCACTCACCCCCTGACTAACGGATTCCATGGAAGAATAGGAATGATACACCACTGAAATTTCCAAAAGCTTTCTAGGGAAGCTTCTTTTTCCTTTTTTATCTGGGTCTCGAGTGAGACCAGTTCCCATTCCCGATTGTTTCTCTCAAACAGTTTCCCCTTTCCTTGATGAATAGTCATCGCGACTTCTGGAAGAATATAATTCCCAAAAAGTCGTAGTTTACCCACATGACCACAAGAGGGAGGCAATCCAACACCATCATAATGACCTGGAACACTGACTACTTTCTATTCGCTATGCTCATTTATTCAATTCGTTGATAAGATGATCACTTATATCGGTGTATCATAAATTATTTCGAAAAAATGGTTAAGTAAGGAATAAAATTAATTGCGATTCTGGTGGATGGGCTAAGGTAGAGTGCTCCATGCAACTGATGAGATACCGAGAACATCAATATTACTTGAACTTCTATATTTCGACAAAGAAAATGAATGAATCGAAAGTGCATCCAAATTTACATTCATCATGCTTTTTTGTATTAACCTTCAATTGCAATTAACTATTTGAATAGAAATTTTCATCTTCTCGCATACCGGAACGCCATTCTTCCATTTCCGAATAAGAATAAACATGATCATAGGCTAGGCATGCCTAAATTATAGCCTACACGAAGGCCCTGTTCTATTGTAAATCGCAAAAAGTAAAAGAATCTCATAAATTCGATAAAAAATTCGTTCAAGACTGGTTATGACCTTACCAGCATGATGATGATTCGAGCAGACTATTTTTTCCAAAAAAAAAAAGGTTTCGTTTTATGTTATGAGGAATTGAAGTAGTACTTGAGTGGAAGAATTTGCGACGTGTTTTCTTCAAGAGACTTGCAGAATTTGCGAACTTTTTTTCAGGGAAAAATGTGGAAATCAAAAAACACTTAGGCCAGATAGTATGTGGGTGAAGGAGACAGAGCGTTCCACATTAGCTCCGCTTTTTTTTTNTTTTTTTTTCGGCTTGGCAAAGTGCCTGGGGAACTGGCTTCAATATTTGCAACATTTTAGGCCAGTTACAGAACATTGCAAGCCCATTTTTCAAGGATCCAATCAAAGTCATCTACCTTTTGGCAATGACCATCCATGCTGACGATTGCCATATCTCAAATTGGGTTTGAAATGCTATTTTGGCAATTTGCCCTGTCGGAAGTTTTTGGCGTTAGAAGCGACAGGGAAAAAAATCATATGAATGTTCTAGACAGCTATTTTCGAATGTTCCTACATTTTATACTATTATATGTCGCACCGTACTGTAATCGATAAATTCTGTAATTTGACGTGGTATACTCCTCTATATGATGTTTCTGTTTGTTTATGTTTTTGCCCATTTTCTTTCAACAGCGATAGGACATTTGAATGAATTTCAAGGCGTACACCTCTCGAATCAACTCGAAGTCTCAGTGTAAGTTTTTTCGACTGGTCTCTATTATTTTTGGCATATCCCGCTAATGTAGCCCGTTTAACTGTCGTTTGTTTTCTTTACGTAACGTCCTCACATGACAAGTTGCTCTCATAATGTGTTTTTTTTTTACATTTTTCGGTATTTCCAAGGACTAGCCATCAAATTCTGATGGCCGTTCCGCTTTTTTATTTTATCAACTTCTCCGATCGCACTGTAACCTTTCTCGGCTTCTTTGTCTACTAGTTTTTACCCTACACGAGTAATGCAACACTATCGTTCCGCATTCCGCTCGTTTCCATGATACTGTACTAACAATATATCACAGGGGCTCTTGGTTTAAAGAGAATAGGCCTTTTCAGAAGATGCCATTCAGGCTCACAGAAGTGATAGCCTCTCTGTAAGTAACTCAGAACTGCTTTATTTAACTCTTGGAATCGGCTGGAGGAGTCGTTTGTCGTCATCATTCTAGTCGTTTAGCAATGGTAGACTTGAAAGACATTATTGAAAATGATGTGTAAACGTATTCAGCAACGGTCGAGGCATTCGTATAGACAAATGACACAACAAATCGAAATCAGCGAACGCCCAAAGAGGTGGAACAAGTGGATGATCGAAAACCATGGTTTGTGTACTCCTAGGGACAGAGTCGGTGTGTCGAAGCTGTAGTTAATAGAGAAAAGGATCGCATGGATGCAAATTCCGGCAAAAGGGCCTGGATGCACAACTGCCGAGTTTGACGGCATCTGGATGCTACACCATGACCCTTCCTTCAAAACAATCAGCACGAGCCTCTGTGAAAGCACATTAATTGCTGGCCCAAAACTCATTTGGAGCAATCGAATTTCCTAAATCAGGACTCGACACTGTACTCAAACCGCTTTCATTGGAATAAAGATCAGATTATTCTTCACTCTTATCACTGCGCTACGTCAGTGCCCTTCAGACCTTCCTAATGACTTTTTAGTTTTGACGTTTTAGAGAACGGAGCCTCTGCTATTCTATAGCCCACATTTCTTCAAAAAGTTCTTGAGACGTTAAAGTACACTTGGCGATGGCGAGACAACAAAGAAAAAGCCGTTAACCTTGAGTGTTAGCAGACATGCGGTCGAAGCGAAGCAAATTGTTTCTTCGACTTATCTTTTATTTATTGTACCGCTTACTCTTTACTTGAAGTTATCCACAGTTGACTTAACAATTCCTCCGCTAATTAATTTTCAAGCACCTGTACAGGTATTTCCAGTGTGATCGGTGAAGCGGGAGGCGGAGGCAATCGCGGGGACATTCCGGGCTGATACCCGCCCTGGCCAAATGAATCTTTCTTTTCTCCGGGGTTGATTAACTGGTACCACACTCGTCTGAGAGGATGAAAGTATTGACAGTGCTGAGACTGCCTTGCACATCGGACGACCACTGCAAATAGTGATCAAAGTTCAAAGGTTCCAAATAGAAGCCTACATGTATTGGACGTGGATCTACGAAAGAGTTTGAATAATGTTTGAATCGTGTAAAAGAAGTAGCCTATATATCCTATCCGCATACATGAGCACATCATAACATTAAGGTAACATTAAGGTGCATCATCAAAGGTGACCTAGCAAATTCCGAAGTGAACCAGTTGTAGAACAGCCTGTATTACTCGCACCATTAATTCCCGGGAAGACGAAAACAATACATAATTAACTCACCAACATTTTTCGACAGTGAAAAAGCTGTCTGAGCACCTAGTCACAGATTGGGGACGAGTCATAAGTTGAAGTTTCACGCTCAGGTTCGGATACTAAGGCTGTGAATGCACAGTAGTTTTGACTGCTTCAGGCGGCCCCACAGTGCCAGATCGTCCGGGAGATCAAGGTAAGTTGGGATCTTTAATGG